CTTTGGAAGTGTCCCTGGGCTGAGGTATTTTATGCCATTGCTTCGCAATGTTATATCGCTTGGATCAAAATGTTCAGAACACACAACGGCTTTTGAGTTCAAAAATTCAAGAACCCAAACCATATTTTTTGCTTGGCCTGGTCCTTAGGTTCACTGCCGTGCTTGTGATTGTTACAATTATTTTATTTTAAGGATACAAGGATGTTCGAGCAGTGTTGATTGTGTTGACATCTAGGGCCTTTTCCCAACCTTAGCGTTTTATTATTAACAGTTAAATTAGTTTGAAGATGAAAGTACATATGTATGATTTTCTTGATCCATAATCCAAATTTTCAACATTCTTAAGTCAAGTTGATGTTGTGAGAATGCATTTTTTAGGACATGCTTTATGGCAAAAAATGAGCAAATTCGCATTTGTATCGTGTAGAAATATTAGTTGCAAGAAGTTTGTTTTTATTGTCCCGGTTCATGTTACGCCACTGGTTGAAGACATAACCAAAAAAAGTGGCAAGTTGCTATAGTTTCAAATAGCAAAACTTTCTCCGTTGAAAAATTGGGGCCATTCAAATGAGTAAAATGCCAAGTTGCCCCGGTGAAAAGGAGCCTCCAAAACGTGCCTTTCTTGAAGAAAGTCTGGTGAACGCCGACCAAAAGAGTTTAGTATTGGAGTTCCTGAAGTGCCACACTGTGCCCTTGTTGCAAAACAATGTGGATCCCATTCTATGGACTGTGTTGGTGCAAAAGTTGAACGCTATTCCTGGCGGTATTCGCTATACGTCCGAGGAATGGAAGGAGGGCTTTCAGGCGAATGTGAGGCTGTTCAGGCAGCAAGCAGGTGTCGATGTACCCCAGAATGGGGATGTCCAGAAGTTGCCCAAAAGAGGAAGCGGCGGTACCATTTGGCGCATAGTTGAGGAACCGAGTAAAACAAGCATTGACAAAGACAACAAAGGCTCTGAGCCAGTGGTTGGTTCAGAAGCGAAAGTTTCCAAGGATAGTTTACACATGCAAAATCAAGCATCTGCTAGTAGTGAAACGGCGTCAATAGAGCAAATCCTGATGAAGAAGCTAATCAAAAGCGACTCGATCAAGATCAGATACCTGAAGCGGAAACTGAAAATGGAGGGACAGTTCCGCAAGAACAAACTGTCCCTTATGAGGGATATGCTGCTGGTCAAGCAGCGAAAAGTGAAGGTAGAGGAAAAACAAGCCACAGCCCTACTTAGGATTGCGCGTTCATTAGACAAACTACTGCAAAGCCGCCGTCTAGACCAGTTCTAAGAAGGTGGTTTCTTATACTCGTTTGTATATCACTGTGTTATTATTTTGTTTGTAAGTTTCTGTTCCTCTGGTAGTTGCACGTGATATGCTAGATCTCTTAGTTAATTTCTTTTATACGATTGAACTGGCTTAATAAATAATCTACTATAAGCAGCCCAGTGTTGTTTAATCATGTAGAACTTCTACAGCAGGCTAATTTATGAGTCTTTTGGAACAACGGCATTTTTACAGCTTAATCTTATCGGCCAGTGAGCAGGACAAGCCAGTGCCGTCAGGCTCCACTTGCAAAGAAGTAATCTTTCCATCTTCCACCACCATGGAGTACCTCTTACTGCGAATCTGCAACATTATTTATTAGCCCTAAGTGGCTGTTGTTGTCTCGCACTTACTCCTCCAAGTGGGGCGATGTCCACCGTCAAATCCAAAGCCTTGGCAAGAGCAGCTGATGGATCAGCCAATAGCCGGATTTTGCCTACAGTGCCCTGATCCTTGGCCCAAGCAGCCATCACGAAAGGATCGTTAACAGACACGCAGATTATGTCACTAATTCCCTGCTGTTTCAGTTCTGCAGCCTTTGCCACATACCCAGGCAAGTGCGTCTGAAAGAGCCAAAGCCTTGAAATCTGCTTGCTATGCGAATGTTTTTAGTAGCCTTGGACTTTGTAATTCTGGGCCTACCTTTGAGCAACCAGGGGTGAAAGCACCGGGAACAGCGAACACAATAACCTTCTTTCCCTTGGTGAGCTCCCCCAGGTTCACCTTGTTGGTGGGAAGGTCCTCAAAGAGGTCCACACTGGGAATTCGGTCGCCAACCTGCGAAAAAAAAACAAAATTAACAAAAACTCCTGTTGGAGAGTTATGTAACATCCAGGAACTACTAGAACTTACTTTAGTCATTTGGAAGCCCGAAGTTTGGAAATATCTGCAAAATGCCGGTGCTACGATATCAACCTTGCGTCTCGATATCCTTGAAAGTAATGACAGTACTTTAGAAGGCATTTTTTCTTTATATCTTGTTTATCCCGCAACGAATACTATCAAATGACTTTCGTCAAGGTCAGGGGATAGTGCGGTTGTTCCGGAAAAGCCCTGGCGCTGATTGTAGCAGGCTAGCAAGCGAATGAAAGAGTATCTAAACTCGGTTTTAGGTTTCGATCTTTGGCGTTCATTTGTTGTTATTTTCCTAACCACAACTTTTTTGTTTTTTAAATGGCAACATTGTCCGGTTAGTTATTGCTTATGGAATTTCAAGCAATTGAAGTGCATATGTTTAAACAAAATTCCTTTTATTGTTGGTATTCATCAGGTTCAACTGATGTCAATAAACTCTTGTCTTGTTTAGTCATTAACTTGTCAAAGTCTTGTTTAGTCATTAAACTAGTTACATATTCCTACACAGTGATGCCCCTGTATAATAATACGAGATCAGCACCCATGACACTGCATGACACCATAGAGTAAGTAAAATTTACTTTTACTTTTTACTTTCTCTATGCATGACACAATGCTGACTTAACTGTATTAGAGATAGGAGAATAGAATATACAACTAATTGTCGTGTACGAACATAGTTTTGTAATAAAGTCCGTAATCTAAGAAATTGTTTTTTTAAAGTCTTCGCGCTCGGCAAAGCATAAAATTAACTATATACTAACGTAACGTTAGTATATATCATGATACAATGAATACAAAGTAGGATCTTGCGTCGATTTGCGAGATGTCAGTGGAAATCACTGCCGAGCGTACTTTTTTCTTGTCTGCTAAATGTGATTAAATATAGCTTATTTAGTCTTTGTCACATTTAATTATTTTTTTATAAATCTTTCTTATAATTACAAGATGCTTTGCAGCAGATTTTAGACTTGAAAATTAAAAGTAACAAACATGTATTTATTTTGTAGATTAGCACAGTTGCCAGTTGTGCAATAAAGTCTAGCGTTAGTTGAAAATGTATCCTTGCAGAAATAGTACATCACAATTCAAGAGACGGAAGTCCAAACAATGACCCAATGTTACTTTCCTATTATTTACGACGGAATATGCGGTTTGTGGTGCAGCGGATGATATGTAAATTTTAATACAAATGAAATGACTGCACACCGCATTTTTTATATTTCTGAACCGATACTTAAACGTAGCAAACAATCTAGAGTACACTTTCCAACTACCAAACGCAAAATGTTCAGTTTTGTCTACAAAATTCCCAAACATGCCCAAACGCATTAACCCCATGATACAATGAATTCATTGTACGACAATTAATTCATTGTATGAGACAATCAATTCATTGTATGAACAGTGCATTCATTCATGTGATACAATTAATTCATTATTTCGTTTGGCTCAACCCGATTTCTCAAATGACACTCTGGCAACACAGCACGCTAAAACGCTGAAAATCAGAGAATTTGTAAAGAATTATTTAGGGCATTTTTCTTCCCAATAAGCCCAAATCCGGTCCCAAACGCAATTTTCAAAGCATTGAGCTATACAATGCTGCAAACCATATCGTCATATAACTTTCCATTTTTGAACTATTGCGTTTTGAATTCAGTGAAAATCTGTCTAGGTTACATGCATTTTAAATGGGATCAGCTGTTCACTTTACCAAAGTGGTAACCAGTGCCGTCGTATTCGCACGACAATCGAGTTTTCGACGGATTAATATTCTACCTTGTATCATGAGTATATATAGTTCAATATGTTTAGTATGCCTGTCTTTCTTCTATGGGAGAGATGGAGACAGCAATATGATTTGGGGCTTGATAAGTCTCCGAAAAAATATTAAACCATTGACGTTTCCTAAGAGTTACGGTTAAAGTTTCTCATTAGTTTCCTTCTTTAAATTTTGCTTTGATTTTACGAATTTTTAATCATCTGAGTGCGATTTGTGAGCGACAATTCGATAAAGTCAGTTTAGAAGATGCATTCCTGAACAAGCTGTTGTCGAAAAAGTCGAAGAACGTAAGTTATAACAATGAAAGGAAGCATAGATGAAGACAAGTATGAAATGCATTAAGCACCTGTTATGCATTTCATGCCATAAAATTCAATTCAGTCACGCTTTGGACTGAGATTTTACGATTTTTTTATCATATGAATGATTTATAAGTAATAATTCATTGCAGAGGACTTTCAAAAATGTAGAAAACCTGTAGAGGTAAAAAAGCACAAGTTGAGACATTTAAACGTGCGCCCTTTTCTTCATGAATGCCCCAGCTTTCAGGTCTGCGCTTCTTACTTGATCCGTTGAGTACGGATTGTGAACGACAGTCAATTGAAGGATGAATGTCAAAAATATTTTTTCGAAAAATCTGTGGATGTAGACAATCGTTTCTTACAATTGGAAGAGCATCCGTTTCCCCATAATTTCGCGAAGTCAGTTCAATCATCTATTTTAATTAGATTTGAGCGGATTGTGAGCGACCGTCCAATGAAGAGACTTTTAGTGTACGCGTCGACGCTGAAAAAAAAACTATTTAATTTCAAACACGAATTTTATGAATCTTTGATCACACTGCGCCCCTTTTCTTTACTTTCAAATGTAATCAAGTACTCGATTGAACAATAGGTAAATTTTCGTCGGCAAAGCAGAACAACACATATAACTAACAATAATCGAAAATGAACGTCCCGCAAAACCTCCTGCTAAATAAGTAGACAGATGCAATAAATATAGGTACTCATAATCTGTCGAGCGTCTACTTTGTCCAATTCATGTTTTTCCGAGTAGTGGAAATATCATGAGCGAAACTGCAATCGGCAATATTGTTGCAATATTTGCCAAATTTGCACGGTTTCGGATGGTAAAACGGGCAATTTACATTGATGCAATTCGGGAAAAACCGACAGCTCTGCAGGCTTAATGACGTGTTGCTGAACTTTGCATCTGAAATTGGCACAATTAGAACGTTTGTCCAGCTTTCCGTGCTAGAAAATTACTTACTTTGAGGCGCCTTGAATGAACCGTGCTCATAAGGACATTCTCGCTTGGTGCAGCCCGCGCTAAACTTGCATTTTGGATGCAAAAACAGGCAACTGTCGCGAAATTTGCAATGAGGAAATGTTTGGCAGGGTTCGCATGGATGGACGAACTCGCATTTGTCTCCTTGCCTGCAGGCTGGCCAATATCGACACCTGCAACATTTTTTTAAATTTACTTAGGAATCTTTCCCTTTGCATCAGATATAAGAATAAATCAGAATCAGAAGAAATAAATTAGTTTTACGTTTTTCGCACTACGTCGTACCTTTCTTTATTTTTCACCAAAAACGACGTTCGCACAACAGGCAGTTCGTCCGGAATCGATCTATTCATCAAACCAATTTTGGCAGTTTTCCCAAAAACAATCGGGGATGGCGCTTGTGTGTCCAGTCTAAAACGCGACAACATTTTTAAACCATTAACCCCCCCGGGATTGTTGCCGCAATACCTTGATTTAACTGGCGATTTTTTTGCAAGAAAATCGAACTTTTCAATCCCATCTAACGTAATAATGAATTGTTGTTTGACAGTACTGTCTTCTTTTGGCTCATTCCCCATTAATTCAGTTTCGCTACTACTTTTTGACGAGGGTATGTAACTAGGAACATCCCTAAAAATACACAAAAGCTGATTTTAACATGACAATTCTACTACTAGTCTGCCCAATTAAGAAAGTGACTGTAAACTGCCTGTTTTGCAACGAAGTTTAACTAAAACTGAGTCAAGTCTCATCACCTCTCCGCATTCTTAACCGGTTTGGGAATATATTCGCCATCGCTATCAAACTCATCGCTGCTCAGTTCCAGTCTGCCCTTCAGTCGGCCAGACGCTTCTTTCGGCAACAGCACTCTTTGCGTTGCTGGTTTTCTAACGCCGTTATCCGTCTGAAGCGTGGGTTTTTCCAAATATCTCTTCGTAAATAGTTCGGGCTGCAAATTGCAAAAAACAATACTCGCCGTTAACAACTGAATTTTTTTCGCGAAGATTGATTATTTAAAGTACCTTCACTTCTTTGCCAACATTTGGAGTTTGGGCGATGCTTCGCTGGGCATCGGCCATTGCCTTTAAGAGCAAGTTCTTATTAGGCTGGGCCACGTTGCTTGGCAGAACCCGCGGCTTTACTTTGATGAGACTTTGAACTTCCCTAACTACTGTTTCGTCTTCCTCCTCGCTTGCTTTGCTGGCAGCTTCTGGCCTCTTAACCACGGCCACTTTTGATTGAACCCCCAGCCGACTCAGTATTCCCTAGAAAAAAATCCACAGCAAATGTTTGTAGCGTTCGGGATTCAATTTTAATGTCTCACCTCTCTTTTCGTCTTTAAAGGACTGCGACTTCGGTTTCTCTCTTTACCAACACTGCCGAGTTGGGTCCTTCCAGATCTGTCTGCTGAGGGACTTCTAGGGAGCCTCCGGCGGGATCTGAGTTGCAAAAATGGGTCAAAATCGGTGAACAATCGCCCTTTCCCCAGTATTACCCTTCGGTGGTTCTCGGGTTTTCAGGACTAGACAATCGTTTCCCTAATCGCTCCAAAATGGAACGTCGTTGTGTTGGCGGAGATCTACCCCTACAGCGCTCCTTTGATCCACTTTGAGTCAGCTTATTTAATCTTGACCTGATATCGAGAGTTTCTTCCTCGCTTTCAAAGCTTATTCGCTTGTGTTGGCGCTTTTTTTCTACAATTAATAGCAATTTATGAAATGAGATATCCACTGCAAACTGGACAATGCACTAACCTTCCAGTACAAGTTGGTTTTGATTGGTAGTGCTGTTGGCTTCTGCGATCTCATTGTTCAGAATCCTCAGCTGTTGTGTGCTGGCACCGCTTGAATTCACGCCTAAAATCACATTGTTCAAGCTCACGAGCCCTTAAACGTTTCACAAACTTACCATTTTTGTCCTTGACACCGTTTGGATTATCTTCACTATCACTCTCAACCAACAGCCCCAGCCTGGTCCGAACGTTCCTTATTTTCTTCTCAATGTCCTGCAGTTCTTGTTCGTTCATGCTTTCACTCACTTCAGAGAGCAAGGGGATATCAAAGGAATCATCAACTTAAATGAAAGCGATCAAATGAAAAACTCCATTGAAATCGTCTCACTGTATAGAATTACCGATGTTGCTGGTTAAACTGCCGTCACTCAAAATAACTCTTCTTGTTGGCAGTTTGTTTAGAGTAACTGGCAAATCGTCTGTGATGGAACTTGATGGTTGCTCTTCCTCTCTGCTGGATAAAACCTCAGATTTCAGCTAAAAGACATGTTCATGAAACACCAATTTCAGCATACAGTATTTTCCAAACCTTTTTCAGGCTTTTTTCTTTTTTCACTTTCAGGCTGCTTTTGTCGTCTGGCATAGACTCAACACTCTTTCGCTTCAGAGCCTTTTTGTACACATCAGGATTGGTCACAGTGACTTCCTTCAGTTTCTTCAGCACAATATGCAGCCAATTGACAAAAGTCGGAGTTTTGGAGGCCAGAAACAAATTCAGGTCCTCGTTCATCTGGGATTTGGTTCGTCTGTTAGCAACCATTACCATGATGTAATCGGGCAGTTCTTCATCTGAAACCACATTTAATGAATTATGGCTGTAAATTGCAGGTAAGTGACTGTGGCTAAGTTAACATTTTTTGAAACTGTTGGGTGATTAGAATGGTTACCGTACCGACATAGCACTCCAGTTCCATGAGCTTCGCTTTGATTGCACTCTGAAAATAGGAAAATTAGCAGCTTTACTTCAATTCTAACCTTAATTAACTGTCTTACCCGCATTTTTTGACCCACCTCCGCCCCAATGGAGTCCATGGTACTTCAACAATGCCGTTTCAATCACCCTATTATTATAATTTGTGTACTATTTAATTGAAATGATTAAATTAAATAATAATTCAGATATAATAATATTAACTATTGTCTTTGACCACAGACTTCTTTGACGTCGTTTGACATTGACGCATTGATTGACAGGAGGGCATGGTCAAGGAGGGTGTTCATAAATTAACCTAAAGGGTTCATAAATTGACGGTAGACAAGGAAAGATATAGTCCCTTGTATGAGGATAGGAACGACTAAATAATCTTTTATAATCACTTACACCCTAGCTTATTTTGTTTATGAACCTGCCCACGTATTTTTGTCACAAGCACATAAATGACAGGGTCAGTTTTTAAATGTACATGTATGTGTGTACAATTGTGTAACGCCATTAATTCGGTTGTTTCTAGGTGTTGTCGCTAGTCCAAAATGGCTGGCACTTCTCCCCAGACAGGAAAACACAGTTTATAGCGGAATTTAAAAA